TGTGAAATATTTAAACGCATCATTTCGTTTTTTAATTCTCTAAATCCCTGCGCTACATATTTTTCTTGAATCTGATCGCTTAATTCTTCTTTAATTATTATTCCAAAAATTTTCTTGTTGTTCTTTTCTGATATTAACACATGTCCTATTATTCCTTTAAAATTCTTCGGTTTCTGGCATATTTTCCTATCGATTAATTCTTTCTCTATTTCATCTATCGGATCTCCCTTCGTATTTATAAAGTTTATTATATTATCATTCCTCATCCATATGTGATCTCGGGAGTCTATAATGTTGACAGAAGTAACTTCCATTTCTCTTATTCTTGGTCTTTGTAATTCTTTCGGTGGTGTTCGTTCTTTCAAGTTAGATTTTTTATTTGTTTTCTTGCTTAATTTTTTGTTTGGGAATTTTTTATTTACCGGTTTTTTATTAGGAGTAGTATCTTTTGTTTTCGCAGATTTTTTATTGCTTATTTGTAAAGGTTTAGGAACTGCTTTATACGAAGGAGGTAAAAATATTCTATTCGTATTACTTTCGTCTGTCGAATCATCGCTCGGCGTTTTTTGTTCACGGTATCCTAATGGTTTTTTATTTATTTCATAATCCATTTCATTATCAGTATCTTCTTCCATTGTTTTTAATTCTTGCTTATTTAATGGTATATTTTCTTCTATTACTTCAATAGCATCAATGTCATCAGGCAATTTTTGTAATTTTTTATCAATTTTTATTTTTGATTTTGGTATTATTTGTATATGCGAAAGTGGTGCATGAACGTCAGCCTGTACTTCAATATTAGTGTGTGTTTGATGGCTGTTACTAGATTGTGATGTTATTTCCATAGCCTCATCTTCAGATTTCTCTTGTTGTTTATGCATTTCTTTTTTATCATAAAATTTTTTATTATCGATTCGTTTTTTCGGGACACCCGTTGTGTGGCTTTCTCTCGGTCTTTTGCGTGAAGCGCATGCGTCGTCAGGAGAGGTTGCTTCCTGCAGTGGCTCATAGACGGCGTCGTCATCACTAAGACACTCTTGCGGGCCGCGCCCTTCAGCTTCATCCACATGCAACAATGCGTCTTTATTGTCATCACGGGATTCGTCAATTTCCTTTGGACTAGAATCTTTACGGTGTTTCTTTGTTCTCTTATGCTTTCGCTTTGTGCGTCTTATGTGGGTAGAAGAGCTACTCTCATGTTTCCTCTTTTCACTTTTTTGACACATTTCTGGATCGTCGGTATCATAGTCAGTTTCATAATAATATGAAACTGTTCCACTGTCACTGCTACTGTCTAAAGCTTTTAAAAATTTACTTCTAGGTGACATTTTTTCTTCACTGTCTGAATCTGAATCTATATAAGGAGATGGTTCATCAGGTCTGTTCTTTTTATGCGGCACTGGATTTCCTGATCCTTCACTTTCCATTGCTCTTTTAAAACTCGGGTGAAATGTTTTTTGTTTTTTATGTTCCTGCCCTACTGAGGCTTCACTTGAAGATGATAATGCTCGTTTTGCATTCAAAGGATATACATGTTTAATTTCTTCGATAGGATTTCTGGACAAAGCGTCAGCATTTTTATTTATTTTTCCTGGTTTGTATTTTATTTGATAATCGTATTTCGCTAATTTTAGTCTCCACCTCATTAATCGTGACGTGGGATCAGATACTGAATTTAACCATTCTAATGGTTTATGATCCATTACTAATGTAAATTTACGTCCATAAACATAAGGTCGAAAATGTTTCACAGCATAAATTAAAGCTAATAATTCTCTTTCTGTAGGCGAATATCTTGTTTCTGCATCATTTAAAACTTTTGATGCGTAAGCTATGGGTAGATCGTTTCCTATCTTGCCTTGACTTAATATTGCTCCACTGGCGTATCCTGATGCGTCGGTAGTTATAATAAACAGTTCGTTAAAATTTGGATATTGCAAAATTGGTTCTGAGCACAAAGCGTGTCTTAATTTATCAAATGCTTCTTGCTGTTCTTGTTTCCATTCAAATGCAATAGATTGTTTCGTTAAATCCAAAAGAGGTTTAGCGATTTTAGAAAAGTTTTTTATGATTCTTCGGTAATATCCTGCAAGACCGAGAAATTGCTTAATATTCTTTCGTGTTTTTGGCATTGGAAATTCTTTTACAGCACTTACCTTCTTGGGATCGGGTCGTACACCATTTTCAGTTATTACGTGTCCAAGATAAGCAACTTCTTTCTTTAAAAATTCACATTTATCAGGTTGTAATGATAAATTTGCTTTTTCTAGTCGTTTCATTAATCGTTGGAATTTAATTTCGTGTTCCTGAAGCGATTTAGCATATATTACAATATCATCGAGATATACAAATAATTCAATTCCTTGTAATACCTGATCCTGATTCAAGTCCTGTTAATACCTGATCCATTAATCTCTGAAAAGTAGCAGGAGCGTTCTTTAGTCCAAACGGCATACGGTTATATTCAAAATGTCCATACGGTGTTGAAAACGCAGTCTTATGCTTGTCAGTCTTGTCCATTAATATCTGGTGAAATCCAGAAGCTAGATCAAATACTGAAAAGTATTTCGCGCTACCAAGCTGATCGAGTATATCGACAATATTTGGTAGTGGATATGCATCACCGATCGTTTTCTCATTAAGCGCTCGAAAATCTATTACGAGACGCCATTTTTTATTGCCTTTAGAATCATCCTTTTTTGGTACAATCCATAAAGGAGAATTATAAGGCGAGCTCGACGGCTCTATCACACCTTTTTCCAACATTTCGTCAACCTGTCGTTGCATTTCTTCTTTATGTACTTGAGGATATCGATATTGCTTGACGTTGATTGGTCTATCGTCAGTGGTGAATATTCGGTGCTTTGATACGCTAGTTGCGCCTAGCGATTCTCCTGGCAAATGAAATCGTTCCGCATATTTTGTTACTAGCCTAGTAACACTAGTTTTTTCTTCCGCATTTAAATGATCGAGACGTAGTAGCTGTATTATTTGATTAACTCGTGTTTTATTGTCCTTCGAGTCTTCTTCTGCGTCGTTTGCATCCATTTCTTTGTTATTTAGCTCTTTGAATGGATATATTTTTACAGTCGGTATCGCTAATTCTACGTCTTCGTCCGATGAGTAATAACATATAGATATGCTATCCCATCACGATTTGAGACAACGGCGTTACCTAAGTACACCTGCAATCCGGCATCTAATTTTGGAATATATCCGTATTTTATTTCAGGATTTGCTATACGAACAAATATTTGTTTTCGCGTTCTAGCGGGAATTGTGACGATTTCGTCGTTATGGAAATAGTACGATACTCCGTTCACAACCAGACAAGCCCTCGGGTAGTCTATAGTTGCCTTTTGATTTTTGAAGAATTCTGTGCCTAGTATTCCGTCTGACTTAATTGGAAAATTATTAGGAACTACATGAAACCATGCATCAGCATCGAGAATGCGTAATTTAGCTACGCCTATCGTGCGTGTTTGTCTTTTAGTTATTCCACTAAGCTCGAATACTATTTTCTTATCGATGGGCACATTCTCATGGAGCGAATTCTTTTTTATCAAATTTATATCGGATCCCGTATCTATCATAAAGCTAGCGCGTTCGTCGAGAAGATTTTTACTTGGCAAAACGACAGAAGGTGGTTTCCCGATCTTATTACAGATTTTTACACTTGCGTTTCCTCTTGAGGTTCCTCTGGGTTGACCAGGCGCACTCGCGGGCGTTCGTTCAGCGCTGCGCCTACTCGCTGAGCCCGATCTCGGTTTCCCGAATTCTCTTGGGCTCTGTCGCGTCGTACGTTTTCAGAAGCTCTATTTTCTCTATTGAAATATTGATTTCCTTGATTTCGCAGATTATTATTGTATTGTCTTTTTTGACATTGTTCGAGACTGTGGCCAGGAATCTTGCAGTATTGGCAAATTAGACCAGCGTTTCGAGGATTAGCTAAATTTGGACGATTAAAACGGTTATTATTATTAAAATTCATATTTCGCGCGGCATTATTTATCAAAGGGTTTCGAACATTATTTAATAAGGGATTTCGGTTCAAAATGCGTGGTTGTAAGGCTTTACATTCCGCTCGTACATGTCCAGAATTTTTACAATACGAACATACTTTTGGTTGCCATTGCACATGAGATATTTGCGCGAGAGGATTAATAGTGCTACATGAATAAGTATCATGACCATATCCAAGACAATTATTGCATCAAATTGATTGTATGAGTCCTTCCGTTATTCTTATACGTTGCGCGTGTTCCTGATACTCCGTTTCAGCTTTTATTGCGGATTCTATCGCGGTATTTAAAGTGATTGCGTTTCGTGGATACTTTCTTGTATAAATATCTGTTTTTAAACCAGTTAGAAAATTTCTTACAGCATTGCTTTCAGCAGAATTTAAAAATTGTATTGCCTGATTCGGATTTTCGGTTTGATAACAAGATTTTAATTGTTGCAGGATCATTGATACTCGGCTACCGTAATCGACTACTGATTCGTCGGGATGTTGAGTTACTTTAGCAAGTTCCCCGTGCAATTGTGACGAAGAATAAACTAGTGCAAATCTAGTTCTTAAGACTGCTATCAAAGATTCTATATCATTATATTCTCCACTTAATGCTACCCTCAATGCAGGTCCGACTAATTTATTTTTTATCATTTGAACAAGTCCATATTCAGTGGTAGGAGAAATCATATTTTTAGCGTGCATGCAACTATTAGCAAACTGTAGGACGGGCATATTTTTTCCATCAAACGGGAGAATTGTCTCGGCTACATCTCGCAAACTTATATACGGGGCATTAGCTTTTGTTACGTTCCGATAGATCGCGGCCGCGAAAAGGGCAGTACTCGGATCGCTTATACGGGACTAGTCGCTTTTCGGGTTATCGAGCCAAGGGGCTCTATCCGGGGATACCTGCGACCGAGGTAATTCGCTATCCAGACGCTCGTCACCAAATCGTTTGCCCGATCCGCACCCTCACTGGGAGATTTTAGAGGCCTAGATAATCAGAGAAGCGACAACTCTACCCCCACCTAGAGTCCTATACTCCCACCATGGTTCCCATCGGGCCCGCAGCTGATCGCTTGTGAAAAAACTAACCTCTGAAGCGTCGTCTACAATACGCGGAGTAAAAAATAGGAGTAGGCGTAAGAAGTGAGAAGTAAGTGTAAAATAAAGCTAAAATAAAGGCGTAAGCAAAATAAATTATTTTTATTTCTTAGTCCAACTTTAGCTCTTACACTTACAAACGTACTATGAAGTAAGAGTAAGAAATAAAAATGATTTATTTCGCTGATGCCTACTCTAGTACTTTTACTTATATCTTATTGAAATGATAAAGTAAGTAATGTTATTATCATAATGTGACATTTGTTTTGTTCATTGTCTAGGAACCAGTTCATGAAATAAAAATAGAAAAACAATGTAACGAGACTGATACTACTTCTGTTCAAGTATCAAATGAATATTCTGCAAAGGTCAGTATTAATAGCCGCTTTTGGAAAACAAAGCGATCAGTGAGCGGTCAGTGATTATTGGCCTGTACTATTAGATCTTTTTTAGACCAATTACATTGACCAGTTACTTAGCTGTTGTGCAACCGTTATTTCCTGAACGTACCCAATGTCATGTGCTTACAATTGTATAAAATGTCAATTAAAATTTTCATTTGTGTTATAACGTATGTTACAGATTCGTGCTATTGAAGAGAGACATTTAATCCCTTTTCTACTTTCCAAAACAGAATGTTATACAATTGAGGAACTGAAATTGCAGTGTAGCAAAGCATCACAAGTTATTCAAGACCTGAGAGTTGAACGTGACTTAGGCCTGCAGCAGTTATGTAAGATGTTCAGTGAGATTGCCAAAATGGAGAAGGCATTGCGCAAGTTACAGTCTACTGCTACTAAATGTAATTCCAAGAAGTGTACAACAAGGAAATAGACCTAAACACTTGTGTTCATTGTGTCTGATTATTTGTAATATTTTTCTAATTACGAGTTTTATAATCATCCGTTATATTTGTTATACCTCATACTGTCTTTAAAATAAATGACAATCATACATGTGTTTACTTTTTTATTCGAGCCTTGTTATAACATAAATACATAACATATATATTCGTAATTCGAAAAAAAAGAAATTATAATAATAATACTGAATTTCGAACTTATAAGAGAAAATAAAATTGCACGATATATATTTTTCTTTACCTATAATAGGGATATTTGTTATATCCTTCAAACATTGTGCGGTTTGTCGAAATCTTCGTATAATTTTTGGATTACAATGATTTTCACTGTCTTGAATTTCCTCTATTTGCAATGAGGGAATAGCAGATGTTTTCAGCCTTCGAAGAATTTCATTTCCTCTTGTGTGCTCCACATAGTCCTCAGGAACAAAGTGCAACTGCAACAAAATAGACAATACATGATAAACATACACACATCTGAAGGCATGTTTCAATATTTTATGAATCTTATAAAATACCTCACAAACTCTGCTATTACATTTCAGACTCCACCCGGGACGGTTAATCCAAGCTACCCACGCATTTCGATGTCCCACATTCTTAGGAAATTTATGCATAGATAGTCTTTCTTTTTCGGTTGTTGTACACCCAAATACCTCACACACTTTTACCATCTTTATTTTTTATTCAAACTCTTGGTTTCTGTAAAGACGACGAATGTAATAAGTTTATAAAAATATTTAAAATATGATCACATTCTCTCTCAATTTAGTTACAAGTGAACAGAAATATTACTGATTATTGTATGATATAACCCTCATCCACACAAAATGCATATATTTACGATGTCCCAAAAACTTCACGAATGTCTACAATTCTTTTCTTAATAATATTAAAAATATATTAATCTGTTTCACTCACCTAACCTCGATGTAACACGTTACTTTGGGACAACCTTTCTGTCGGCGAGTGTACGAGGACAATTATACGGCCAGCAATTTCCACTGTTTTATTGCTAAGTCTGGTATACTGTTGCGCAGCGAGGTCTCAATGGCAATTACTATTAATGCAGACAGTATCAGTCGCAGTACTTAAAAAAATTTCCCGTTCGGGCAAAACGTCCGAACACGTTCGAGCACGCCAACGTCGCCAACCGACTCGTGCAGCTATCAGTGGTGCACACGGAATCAGCTGCGGGCCCAATAGCCTCGGTTTTGATTGGTGCCGCGGTCAGCCAATCAGCAAGCGTGCCCTCAATGTCGCTTCTCTGATTATCTAGGCCTCTAGGAGATTTAGATTCGGTAGTTCATCACCGTACCGTTGATTTAGAGGATTTGTCAGATATCGTTCAAACGGTTCTTCTACTCTAGTGCATGCGTAACATTCGAAAGCGGGCCGACAGTCGGCTTTAACCTTACTGCACTCGCTACATGTGGGGAACTCTATTCGCGGCCCGTATTGCACGTATTGCCTGAAAACGTCTTCGAAATCTTGCCGGAAGGGCTGGTATTGGCCGAGCTGGCAATCCTCACAAATAATGACCCCAGTAGTTTTATTTTGGAAAAACAACGACCAGACACAGATTCCCGTCATTAGCCATGCTCTGATAGGGCTAGGGGGTGAAACTACCTCCGGAGGTTGCCGATTTACTGGATGTCCGGGACACATGAACAATGGAGCGCTAAACTTTAGTTTGGGAGATGGCAATTATCGTAGATTCGCGTTCTAAATATTGGTCTCCTCCCTCGTGTTCCACCGAACACGTTTTACGTTAGAGAATATTTCACAGCACGTGGTACACGCGGAGGGGCTCTGAATTTCTCCGATCACGACGTCGCACAAATCGCACTCTTCGACTTTGTTCGGTAACCGATATGCATATAATGGCGGACTAAGCAGTCGTACTGGCGGCGTTGCGGGCCCGTTAGGTCTTGGAAACACTCTTCACAGAGGTAGTGTTTGCTATCACGATTTTGATGGCAGATAGTAAAGACACACACGGCGCGCGATAACCAATTCCGCCGCGCAATTCTAGAGGCCAATGGGGTTAGTCGGCGCGCGGGGCGTCGCGTGCGCGGCTCGCTCATGCCGTTTGCTTAGCGCCTAGGGGCGTCGTCACTTACCTTTAGTCGAGTTCCAATGGGTGATCCGCGGTGCCCCAGTGTTCTGGTGGTGAGGCGTCGAACCACAGGTGTAGAATCTTGGCGCGGCGCTGGATCAGGCGGATCCGGCGGGGGTCGTCCTTTTTGATTGAAGCGATGAATTCCCAAGATGGAACTGGTGGTGGATTGTCGGAATCTCCCCCCGGTGTGAAGGTGATCGGAGTTAGCCGATAGTTCTGGGCCTTCCGGAATGCTTGGTAATCTGCTCGGGACTTGGCCTTGTCCAGTGGAACATAGATGTATTGTATACTTTTAATGTTAATTTTGCGCACTGAAATTACGTTTTCGAGTTTTGGTCTCGCGTCCGCCTTGCACGCGGAACTCGCGACGAAGTACTTTTCGTATTCAGGATCAGGCGCGTAATCGGAAAGGACTCCTAACAATGGATTCGGAGGGGTCCCGAACAAAAGGCGGTTGAGCCTGCGGGTGCGTACCTTGAGTCCGCTTCGTCGCGTCTTGGGCATTTGTTAACTACTGATTGAGGTTAAAAGACAAATACGCTTCGATTGACTCTCCTTGCTCGTGGCGAGAAAGCGTGCTGCTCGTACAGCACTGCCCCTCTCCAGACACCCACGGACGGTAGCGTGCCGCTCGTACGGCACTGCTTCGTACGCAGATGTGGCACAAGGGGAGGACCGGGGATGCCTTATTGCAATTACTAGAATACCCACAGGCGGAGACGTGCCGCTCGTGCGGCACTGGGCTCGTGTGTGGATGTAGTGTAAGTGGGGTCAGTGGAAGATGTGCGAAGAGGTGTAAGAATTTGTAGAGTAAGATATTGTATAAAAATGATTGTATATTACGATAATTCTACATAGGACATATGATTACAAAAGTAACAAGATTACAATCAGGAATGTATATATATTTATATAATTGTCGAGTGGGACGAGCGTATGGCGTATTTCTATATGACGCGTAATTCTCTATGTAGTGAGAGAGTTGAAGGCTCTGGGTTTGGTAACGCACGTGGCGAAGGGAAGATTCTCGATGTGGAAATAGGAAGGTTCTGGATTCAGAGAGACTCGAGAAGGATTCAGTGGTTACTTAACTGGAGAGTCCGTGATCGAGGTAGGACTCCGGGGAACTGAGAGCGTCCCTTGGGATGTTCGTCCTTATATTCCTGTTTTCCCGATGGCGGGGGTGGTCGAGTGGAAGGGTTGCCTGAGTGAAAGGGTTGAGTTGCGTCATCGGCTTCGCTTTCGATTTTTCTCCTTATATGGTCATGTTCTGAGTTTTCCTCCTTTTGTTTGCCTGAGTGGAAGGGTTGAGTTGCGTCATCGGCCTCGCTTTCGATTTCTCTCTTTATATGGTCATGTTCTGAGTTTTCTTCCTTTTGTTTGCCTGAGTGGAAGGGTTGAGTTGCGTCATCGGCTTCGCTTTCGATTTCTCTCCTTATATGGTCATGTCTTGAGTTTTCAGGAAGGGTCTAGGAGGGTTTAGGTTTGCGTTACCTGAAGGAAGTGTTGCGAGGAAATTCCTATGGCTAAACCCTTGTGGGCATTGCGACTTATTCATTGTGTATATACATTATTGGAATAGGCCAAGCCTATTGCGTATATCGTAACTTATTTTCTATACTTATGTATATGCTAGTGGATAGGTTAGGCCCATCGCGCAGGTCGTGACTTATCGCTGGTGTGGTAACTTATTCGGTGGTAATTCTACTGTCGGTAAGTCGTACTAGGAAGTGTGGTAACTTATTCGGTGGTAATCCTACTGTCGGTAAGTCATGCTAGTGAATGTGGTAACTTGTTCCGTGGTAATCCTACTGTCGGTAAGTCATGCTAGTGAATGTGGTAACTTGTTCGGTGGTAATCCTACTGTCGGTAAGTCATACTAGGAAGTGTGGTAACTTAATCCTACTGTCGGTAAGTCATTGTTCTTATGAGTAAGGTCTGATTAAAGTCTTCCTATAATCTAAAGAAGGTTTCAAATTTTTCGAGCGTACGAGAGGGTGGACGTAACACCTCCCCCCCTATTTGAAAATGTAGGATGTTACTCCTACATTTTATCCTACATAGGGTATACTTAACTAATAGGATATGGTAATCTTACATTTTAAATTTTTACGAGTTATTGTCGCGTAAATACTTCCTGAGCTCGCTGTAGTCCATTTCTCTGATACCACTGCTGGTACTGGGCTCTCTGTCGGGGATGAAAGTGGTCGTTTCGAGCTTCGGTGCCTCAGGATCGGTTCCTTTGGTGGGGGCGTCTTTCCTGTTGCTGAGGTGCAGAAGCAGGTGCGTGACTGAGCTCTATACTGCTCCCAGCAGGTGTACGCTCCATCCGTAGACAGAGTGAAGCGCATATTCTCTGATGATGGAGTCGATCACCAGTTTGACCAGGCGGAATAGGAGAATAATGGCCAGCACTCCGGCACTCGCTGAGCCGAATGTGACGAATCCATTCCATAGGCGTCGTCCAATGCTCTCCGCAATCCTTTCCAGCGATTCCTCGTCCAGCAGGTGATGTAGCGAAACATAGCCGCGTGGGATGTCATGGCCCGTTGCTCCCTGCACCAATGTATTCAGCATCGGTAGTTTCTCTATGGGGAACATGATGTGGTCGCGGAGGCGGTCGAGGTCTCGTGTGGAATATATTCCGCTCGTGGCGAGGTTGGATGGGTTTACATACTTCCATTGTGGTTTCGTTAATGGCTGAATCGTAGGTGGGGCTAATGCTTTCACCGGGCGTGACATTAATTTAAACCACGCCTCATCTACCTTATGCATTGATGGTAGAAGTTCGTTGCAATCTCGAATTGTGCCGCCCTTGATCAGCACTCGAGATTTCGGGAGCAGGTAGTAGGATATGTTATTGTGCGAGACGGGCAGCTCACCGTAGCAGTTCTCCGTCTGCCTTATTTTGCATGCAACTGGCACGCATTTCACTATATATATAACTTCGCCCGCTGTAATAGCTGTGTAGCCCGGCGTTTTCATGATTCGATACGCCATTTCGTCGGGGGCGATGCTAGCAAGAAACAGGGCGTTCTCTAACACCTGCTTCTCCAGGGCGCACTTTTGACTCATGATGTCCCGGTAGAGTTGGGTCAATTGCGTCCTCATGTGTTTTTCGACGTATATGAACTTGCTGTTTACATACGTGAAGATGTCTAGATTGTCGATCGATATTCCCGCCTGAATTTTGAAGGTTCGCCCTGGTTTGGTTTCGAGAATGAACAATTTTGGATGCTCTGTTTGTATTATCTTGTAGCCGCAGAGGCTTGTCTCCGTGGTTTTGGCCAGAGCGAAGGTGATGTCCCTTGTCGTCAAGGTGTAGATGACCGGGATCTTCTTCTGTGTAGGTTTAGGCGAGACCCGGTGGGCGTTTTCTTCGTAGAGCACGTCGTACTTGTTGAACTGGCAGGAATCGGTCGGCAACGTCTTCCAATATGTCATTGTCCCGTCGGCGTCGTAACACTCGCCTTCCATGGCTGGACAGCGGGTGCCAGAGGGTAGCACTACTTTGTTCGTAGCATGTTTTACAGGCACTTCCATCCGTCGTGTCGTTATTCTCACCGTTGCCTGTACAAACACGTTGTTCCAGGTGCCCAAGGGGTCACTATATTGCGTTCCCTCGCATTTACCGTTCATAGTGAGTGATCAGGCCATTGTAATAGCGCGGGTGGTGGTGGCGTTTACTTTAATGCCGGTTATCATTCCGCTGGCTCCTCCCAGAAATAGTGTTCCAGTATCCTGCATTTTCCGGCAAGCATCCCCTGAGATTTCTCGTATATATTCGTATTTTCCTCCTTGCACGGCTGAATTGTAGGAGGACCATCCACAATATTTTATATCGCGGTCTATCTCGAATTTGCATTGGACCGCGGTAGTGTGGTCGAATTCGCTTAATTGTAAAAGCTGAATATATGTCTCTTCGGTGACCGGTTCTAGATCTTCCAGCTCGCAGTCTCCGATATCCGTTAGGGACAGTGTTGTCACATTTAGTCCCTCTCCTCTGCAGTCAAAGCCCAGG